ATTAAATCCGAAGCAGCGGATTTTGTAATGAGTCAACCGAGTTTTTTTTGGCCTATAAGTCATCCGAGATGATAATCTACTAGCTTTTTTCTCAACTGGGGAAGTTCGATCACTAAACTGAATTAGCCGGGGATATTCAAAGCGCTATTTTTTACAGCACTGGCTAGCAGGCTGGATGGTATTAGGAGTCTTTGGTTAACCTAAGAATGCTGTACTTGTCCAAAAACTCTGTATTGTACGACGACAACTGACAGTGAGTTGGATGTAGTGAGTTAAAACTGGGCTTGTGAAAATGCAGCTTGCGATCAAGACTTTATGGCTACAAGGCAAACCAATGAATTACAAATGTTTCAGTTGTCCAAACTTTACTAGACGTTGGACATTTTGCGAATTTGCTACGAACCGTTTATCTCCTGAACTCGGAAAGCGACCACGTACGAAAAGTTCAACGACACTTGGCGAACACGAAGGGTCGCAGCGTCACCAACACCAACAACAACCTGCAGCAAAGCTACCCCACCTTCTGGTTTATGTTGGACAGACCACTCCACCGGGCTCTTTCACGCCAGTCCTCGTGCCCCATTTATTGCACGATAACTCCGAATCTGCAGAGGTCACTGATTTTGATAATTTACTAAAATGGTGTCTTATGGAACTGAAATGGGACCACTTCCTAAAACAGCGCACCCATGCAGTCTTTCTGCTGTGCAAAATTGCTCTTTTCATACACGTTCTGACTAAAAATTCGTTGCATTGAGAAAAGAGGACACTTCCTCGGGAACAACTTCTTGTTTAAAACTCTTAGATTTTTTTTTCAACAACATTATCCATATAAAAAATTTCATTTTTCTCTCACAGCTGACTGTTTTGAGCGAATCGTTCGTTGCACCAGTGCGTCCGAAAAAAAAAACGCCAAAGTCATTGGGTCAGGATGAAAACCCTGACAAATGTTTCTGGGTTGTGAACTTCAAAGATGAAACTGTGAGGGTTGCGAAATTTAAATATAATCCTTGTCTAAAAGAAACTGCAGAAATATAGGAAATGTTTCGTAAAATCATCCAAACTTTTATAGGCGCTTCTTTTTGAAATCCTTGAGATGCCGTAGATCCTACCTCCCTTATCTTTTTTTTCGCAAGGAAATAAGAAAAACTGTTGGATCTTCAGAGTCACGATGCGCGGAAAAAGCGTGAACATACGCCGCCGCAAGCAGTATGCGAAAGGTTGGCGAAATAT